TCTCTGTTGCTTTTAGCTGCATCCTATTTTTGAAGTTCACTGTATTCTTGGCCTTCCACCATCAAAGCATCTATGTAAACTGCCTGTTGTTGTTACATCTAATCATCAATGAGCTTTGGACTGTGAGTTGAAAACAGCACGAAAATTTGCTCAAACTACAGCTGTGTTGCGTTAAATTTGAGAAGTCTAATACACATTGGTAAATAGTAGAAGTGCTTTGGCGCGCTTGATCAAGACTTCACGAGATTTTCAACTTCGCAGAAGTGACATATTTTCCAAGAAAAAAATGTAGTATTCAGCTAGCTTCAGATCCCCCTATGTTTGTATCAGGGAAGACCCGAGTTGTTCCGCTTTCCCATGTGTGAACCAACCGGAAGTGCAATGTAAATATCTGAATGAAATCGCTGTTGCATAGGATTCTGCATTATATTATCATTTAAGAACATAGTACATTATAAGAGCTTTATTATTGCGTAATGCTAATATCTGAGGAATGGGTAAATTCAGTGACATACTTTAGCCTGCAGATGAATGGCTTGGTATGGTAATCTTTATATGCCTTAGGTGCTTAAGATAATTTTCTACAGAGCAGGTTTGAAATTATAATGTAGACGAAATGCAAGCGTGATGATTCATGTTTTTCTCATTTACTTGGATAGCAAAGCTATCATGTTTGGTTCAACTTAAAGTTATATTTAGCAATCCAAAATGATCGTGATCGGATAGGCCCTACAAAGAAGGCTAAAATAAGCAGTGGTTCGGACGAAGATCAAGCCATCACACCGCATCGCATGCATGATCAGGTATGGAATGTATGTGTTACTATATTGAAATAGATGTAGTCATTTCTGATGTTTGAAAGTGCAATATATAGACTCTTTCACTAATAAGAAGTTTTGCTTGGAGGAGAATGAAGTTCTCTGGTTGTTCACAGGTTAAAACTATTCTTCACTCACTAAAGATACTATGGCAGGTCTAATGAAAATCCGATTTTTTCGCTTCTTTTTTTCGCTTTTCTAAAGACAAAGCTAGGGGAAGCCAATCAGCAAAACAAATCATGTTTGGTGTTCGCGAAAGTCACCGAGGTGTTCTTCCTTAGCAATGTCAGTTTTTCCATTATGATAGGTTTGGCATATTGTTGAGTATTCCGGATATAAATGAATTGTGACTAGGAAGACAATTTACGTCTTGGAGGTTACAAATCATATGTGGCGCTAGTTGGCACTGAAAGCTAGAATTTTTGGGGAGGGCCGTTAAGTCAGCAGTTGTTTTGATACTTTTAAGAGATATC